ATACAATTCAAATATTTAATGCAAATTATGCATAAATTCAATGTCAACCCATTTTTATTACCAGTATTTAAAAGTTATTTACATTTCAACAGAAAAATATTTTTTTCAAATGCAAAATGTCTTACAAATTGTAAGTTACAATAAAAGTCACAAAATATTTATATCTCGTATCAAATATTTGGATAAATTTTTTTTTATATTAATTCAGAGAACAAATAAATCATATATTTAGAGCAATTGATGCAAATGTCAAATGAATATCAAATTTAACGACAATTAATGATTGCGGAAAACAAATCAATCAATCAATCGGTTAATTACTTTCAATATAGAAAATACAAACAAAACCCAAACAATTAAAGCGTTGATATGAAAGACACTTAAGAGGAGTGACGAAGGAATGGATGGCTCAGAATATATCACTATTTTGTATGGAAAAGACTGGCCATCGGTTGGACATCACTCGACATACATGTGATAGAGTTCTTTGGAGAGCCGATGCAGAGGAAGGCCCACAACATTGAAGTAATCGCCGCGAATCGACTCAACAAGAGTGGCGCCAATGCCTTGTATGCCATACGCGCCCGCTTTGTCCATCGGCTCACCCGTACTCACGTATGACTTAATCATTTGATCACTCAATTCAGTCATATAGACATCGGTTCCCTCGTGGAAAGTGGTCACCACATAGTCTTCCGGGCCGTCGTCGCTGTCGCCGGACGAGGCGTGCGATGAGGCGGAGGCGCACACAGTGTCGGCCACCGACGAGGAGGACGACTGATTGGTGCCGTGAGTGACGAGTGCAACGCCCGTATAGACCACGTGTTTGTGTGCCGAGAGTCGTGAGAGGATACGGATGGCGTCTTCCGTGTCTTTGGGCTTCTCATAGATGTCGTCGTCGAGAGTGACAACAGTATCGCAACCGATGATGAGGTCGGGTCGGTGTCCGCCATTGCCGGCCAACTGTCGCCACACATCGATAGCCTTTTGTTTGGCGTTTTCCTTCACGTATTCAATCGGATGACTGAACGACTCTTTCGGCAGGTTTTCCAAGAAGTTGGAGGAAATGGACTCAAACTCCACTCCAATCGACGACAGCAGCCGTTGCCGGCGTTCAGAAGCCGACGCCAACACCACTCGTTGTCGTTGCAGAATATGACGAATCGGTTCCAACATTTGACAGACAATTCACTCAACTCTATAGCCAACAGCTCTTGGGATCACTTCTTCTTCAAAACAAACACCAAAACAACACAACTATTGTTATTGTCTTCACATTTGAGACAACACTCTGTGTTTTGTTACCAATACTCTCATTCACTAATGCATAGTTCGGGGCCAACACTCGCAACCAATACACGCCACTTAACATGTATTACAACACGCATTGCATTACAGCACACATTCATTGAATACAATGCAGTGCTGTTCACAGAAGACGTACGTTTTTAATGAAACGCCAATAATGAGCCCCCTTTTGGTGAACCAATTGTTTGTCTCGCCCGGGGCTATGACAGCAATACTGGTGTTGGCTATGATATGAATCCCACAAAACCTGTTCCCACTCTTCGGCTCACAAACTATTATCTCATTTTGAAATAGATTTTCAAACAAACGATTCAATAATCATTTCAATGCACTCTATGTTTGGCTAAAAAACCTTATTTTTAAATAATTTATTAAATACTTATGTAAATAGTATTGTCTTATTTTTGGTCGCTTTAAATTAATTTGCATTCAATTCATTGCATATCTATTAATAGTAATTGTGTTTATATTAGAAAATTTATTAAAATAAACTATATTTTAAAATAGTCCTAAAATGTTGATAAAAATACGTAACAAACAGCTAATGAATTGTATACATGTAGACTATTTTACCATTCAACTATCATGGTCATATATGGCTCCCAATATAGTACTCTATTTATTAGCTTTGTAAAATTATTAATTAATTAATTAATTTTGATTCACATATAGTGTAACACCAAAAAGGAGCACAAGCCGAGAGAGAGAGAGAGAGAGAGAGAGAGAGAGATTACTACCAGATTATGAGATACAACTATATAATATTATATA